CCCCCCCCCCCTGGGGCCCAACCGGGGGGGCCCCCCTTCAGGGGGCCCCCGCCGGAGGCAGTTGGGGCAGCTCCCCCCCCGGAGCAAAGCCCGCCCCCCCCCCCCCCCAGCAAAACCCGACCTCCTCCCTCCCCCAGCAAGGCCGCACCTCCCGAGCAAGCCCGCACCCGTTTGCGTGCACGCACACGCGTAACCCAATGGCACTGCAGAAACGGCAGCAAAGGCAAGTCATGCAAAGCTACGCCCCCAGGCAGCTGAGGCCTTCCAGGTGGTTCCAATCTGGGTCTGAGACGAGCACTCACATTTCTTGTGGAAGGCCCCATATTTAAATACTAGTGGCCCAGTGCACAAATTTGTGCACATGAAAGGAAATTAATTAGAAGAAATATTTTAATATCGCTATTTGCCCTTTCTCTATAATAGAAGTGTCAACCAAATTCACGATCGACAATGACAGATGGAAACACATGCGTGAGATTGACGCCAGCAAGAGTTTTATATATATAGATATTAAATATGCTAAAAAATATATAAATTAGGTCACTGCATTTCTGTCTTTTACTCTCAAAATTGTCATCTTTAAAATCTTTCTGCAAAATACAGGGTTGTGGGCTTGATCCCCAATAGGGGGTGTGCAGGAGGCAGCCAATCAATGATTCTCTCTCATCATTGATATTTCTACCTCTCTCTCCCTCTCCCTTCCTCTCTGAAATCAATCAACATATTTTTTTTAAAATCTTTCTGCAAAATACAATTATTTTCTAGTCCTTTCCAACACCCATGGGGCAGTTATGTTTTCTATGTTAATGTCCACAATTGCATCGTTTTACATGTGAATAATATGAAAGCTGAGGAAAAATTAGCAATGAAGGTCTAGAAAGGAAGTCTAAACATGAAGGCTAACAAATTATTCAAGTTGCTATGATTCACAGAATAGTGTGAATTTTTGGCGAAAGCTGGACAGCATTATTTGCAAAGTGCTCCTGACACATGATTGATAGACTCAGACAAAAGATCAGTCATTTCTAGCCATGACATCTTTATCTGTGGGCTAATCATAAAAGCATTAGAAAAGCAAAAGGGGGAAAAAAGCAAAAATCCTAACAGATAATCATTAATATTTTGGTGTTCATTATTCATCTTTTTTATGCATTTTAACAAAATGACACATAATAAAAGACAGTTTTATAGCCTCCTGTTTTCACTTAGCAATATATTGTAAACATCTTCTCAAGTCAACAAATATTCTTCAATAACATGGTTTCTAACAGTGAAGCCAAGACATTTTAACATTTTCATTTGACCATGAGTTAGGGTAGCAAAGAAAGAAGCAATTTCTTTTGCTTTTACACCACAGAACTGGCTGTAAGCTACCTACTCATCGAACTTGTAAATAACTTTAGAAAAGAATTTAAAAGAGAAAACCTAAAACATGTTAGCTCTCCGTAAATGGAAGCACAGTATATGAGCTACCGATATATTTCTTAATAAAAGAATCAAGCTGCCAGTCCTTTCTCTACCTATTCTGTTAGCACTTGGGTACCACCCACAGGCCAGAGTATTTATATTTGCATAATAACCTTTACCACGTTGTTTAGTGAGTTCGGGGGAGAACATATTTTTATTTTTTTAAAAAACCACACACACACAAAGAGAAGGAATTAGGTTGAACCCAATCAATTTTGCTTGAATAATTCAAGCCCAGAGACTTAATAATTAACTAGACACTAAACACATTGTGCGGGTGTTATTTTAAATGTTCCGGTTGACGTGTGAACATGCTTGTTAATGAAACTGGTATTCAGCCAAAGAAAGGCGCGGCCCAGTCGCCCCACAGCGCTGCGTGGCAGGGTGCTCTTTGGGAAGAGCGCCTGGAGGAGGTCTCCTTTGGGAAATTGTGCTTGGGGACCTGGGGAGCAGATTGCACCCCTGCAAACACAATTTGTTTGCAACCATCAGAGAAAAGTTTTATGAGGGGGCTGGGCATTCGTATGACCTTTCAGAAAAGAAAAAGGGCGGGAGAGGACGTAAAGATGCGAGAGTAAAAAGAATCAGACTGGACAGGAGTCCTGACGGTGAGTTCCAATGCAAGCTCTCTTCATCTCACCCCCCACTCCTGACCTAATTAATAGCAGGAGGACCGGTTCATCGATTAGTATTTATAACAACCAGCTCCATTCTTACCTTGCTGTGTCTTAGTCCATTAGCTATAGGTTCAGTGATGGAGAATGGGGCCAAAAGCAAGGTGAATGCACGCAGGGCTTCATGTGTAGTAACAGGGATAGTTTACCACAGCCCCCTCCCAGGCGGGCTAACACACCCCGGAGCTACGAATGAATGGCTTGGTTTAGTGTCCTCTGAGGGTGAAACGCCAGCAAAGGCTTGTCCTCACTTCAAGTCTGGCTTCTGACATGAGTAATAGCAACTGCAGAGGCTTATTTATGGAAAAGGAGGCTTTGTAATTAATAATGGCTTTCTTCACAGAACATTTACAGTGAGTGCATACTGTCCAGAGTACTTTGAACACAGTATTCTACTCAATTGTCATGATCATGTGAAATAGAAAAACTATCATCTCCATATCATAGATGAGGAAACAGGTTTAGAAGGCTTAAAGGACTTGGGAACGACCACAAAAATAGCAAGTGACAACACCGCACTGTCTCAAGGCGTGGCCAAAAGTCCTAACCACCATATGAGGTCTGAAAGGTCTACGGATCCCGCAAACCACCTCTCCCTCCTGTTGTGACTTGGAAGTATGTATTTGTTAATTCACATATTTGGGCTTTAGAAATTGCTATTGGGGCAGAAGAGGAAAACTCACATATGATGTGTCAGGATCCAGCCAGAAAAACAGAAATCAGCTGTGCATTTAAATCAGAGGAACCCTCATCCTGGAAAATGGCTACACCGGTGATAGAGGAGCAGAGGAATCAAACAAGGGAGAGTGAGGTGGTCAGCAGCAGCCGCTACCTCCAGCCCCTGACCAGGCAGGTGGGAGCTGGAGCCACAGAGGAGACACGGGGGCTAGTAGGGAGCGGCCCCAGGCCTGAGAGGGGCGGAAGGTCCTCTGGCCTCCACTCTCCCCGCATTTGCCTGAAACACAGAGCTTGTGAGACCTGCGTTCATTGTCCCCCAAGCTACACCGCTGAGCAGCCAATGGGGCAGGAGTGGCTGTCAAGGCAAACAGGCCAAGGATTGGCACACAGATGACCAACCCTGTTTCCATTTTACTCAAAGAAGATAAATCAATAAAGCAAATGTTTTCTCTCCGAACAACCATGCAGTGGATTTTGAAGTGGCAGGGTTTTAACATAGGGGAGACTTTCACTCCTCCCTCTTCATATTTATTTTGCTTTTTGTTTTAACCCCTCACAAAGGTTAAAGAAACCATCCCAACAAACCCTTTTCACCTAGGGCGCGTTTACTCAGACAGACAGACAGGTTCGTAGACTCATATGTGTCACTCGCTTATCAGTGGATCTTGCCCAACTTGTCCTGTCTTTAAACCTCTCATTTAAATTTCTCATTAAAGCTCGACATACACAAGCTCTACTACATGTGAAATCTTCAAAAACATGTTTGGGGTCAAATATTATAATAGAGATATTGTCCTCTACTACATCTAGTAGTAAACTTGAACAATAAAAAGAAAGGTGGCATTCTCTTATAAATTCCATCAGCATCGAAACATTTGGCAAAAGACTCCTTGGCCGAGTGTGG